TTCATGTAAGGTTTGATTTAATCTTCTAAAGGAGAATTAAATCTTCACTAAGCTTACAAAAACAGCTGGACTGTGCCACCTTGCTTAATAAATTCTTACTACACATTTTGGACTGAGTCTTGCCTTCATTATAATCTGACAGTTGGGTTATAGGGAAGCAACTAATGCTCATTAGTACCTATTGTTCTCTGTTTAAAAAAAAAAAAAAAACCTAAGAGCTATGCATGGCAAAATTGGCCTTGGTTAATTTGTAAAGTAATATAGAGCCATAATTTTAAAATAAGTGTGTGACTACAGTGTGCCGAATTATTTTAGGGTGATGTTTTATCCTGTATAGTGCCTCTTGGAGAGAGGTGTCATGATCTTCTCCCAGCTGTCTCTGAGGATGGCACCACGGCTGAAGATGCTATTCTCAAGAGAGCAAATCCAGAATAGGACCAGGGTTTATTTTCGTGTAATCAGGATGTGAATAATAGTATAGCATGGGCTGAAAAAAATAAGAGTATCTTATCTGTTGACACCATTTTAAGATATAAGGACTCACGAATCAGTATGGAATACAGTTATTTCAAAGAGATTATAACATAAAATATCCCAAATTTTATCTTCCCAAAATATTAAAAAGATTCACCTTAGTACAAGGATGGTCCCACATATATTCAAACTTCTAACATGATCTCTGTGGAAACTTAATTCTTTTTAAGAACACTTCTAATTAAATACTTCAGAAAAATCATTTTTTTATAGAATGTAATTTTCTGAAAAGCTATAATTTAAGAGTAACAAAAGAAGACAGCATTCGAGGCTTATATTTTCCACCGCACACTGACAGTGGCAGTAGGAGACCTTTTTACTGTGCTGCTGCCACTGCATCTCCTCGCGGGGCAGTGAGAGGGTACCTCTGCGTCACAAAGCTCTTCAATTCAGAGGTCAGGAGAGGCACTGCCCAGGAACAGCACCAACTGGGAGCCTAACAGCTTTGCCCTGAGTATGGAATAGAATGAGATCCAAATCTTCCCTGCATGGGAACTGCAGTTAACTCTGTGTTTATAGCCACCCGTTTCGATTCAATTCGATGTTAGTCACTTATTGATCTGGGAAATGATTATCTTTGTATATATCATAATATCTAACATAATACCTGATAATGTGGTAAGCACATAATAATTATATTTTCAAATGTATTATGATTATATGTAGTTGATAACTATTTCATGTTCCAATAATTAGAACCAGGAAGATAACAAAAAGTTATTAGTAATAATTATATTTCTCTAAAAGCAACTTTACTTATATAAAATAAATTTGCACTCTTTTTCTTTCATTCATTCATTCAAATATTTAGAGAGTGCCTAGACATGTAGCACTAGAATAGGGACTGCTAAATTCTGGAGATGACAGAAAGAAAGTGGTAACATCCAAGGTGGTTTTCCAAGAGCTAAGATGTTACAGGGGAGAAAAAGTAATAGATACTTGTAAAAATAATAATAAGTTTAAGTGCATAATCTCAGAGAAAATTAGATTCCCCTTAAGGGTCCCCATAAACCATCATTTTAGGTCTGACAGAATCAAATAACAAAAAAGACAAAATAAATTTCAGAAGAAAATGTATCAGTAAAGTATTACAGGGTTAGACTGTAGTTTTCTAAGATATGTTTGGCCCAGGGGAGGATTATCCTTCAAACTACAGATAATCTAATAGTAGTAACTAAAATGATATAACTTAAAATGATATCAGAACTCAACTCTTAGCTTTGGAAGAACAAAAGTTGCTAAGATATTGTCAAAAATGATGACTTTAATAGTTACAGAGAAGGTATAATAAAGCACAGATTTTCTTTATGGCCTAATTTCTGATTTTTCTATTTTTTTTACTTTTTGTCCCCTACATCACCTTTTGTCTCCATGCTCCACAATCAGTGCTCAGAAAAATAAGGCAATTATACAAATGGGGCTCCCAGACAAAAACTGAGTTTTCCAACCTCAGCTCACTTCTTTCGTGCACGTACATGCTGACTCCCTATCCTGACCACAGCACTTGGTTTACACCTCTCTGCGCAAATATCCGCACATACCCTCCCTCTCTTGTGCATCAGAACTATGTCCTTACTCCACCAATTTAGCCAGAAGAATGAAACATTGCCATGAATCTTCAAATTTTGTATCTTTACGATAGAAATTATTATTTTTGGCCAAATAATTAGACTCTAACATGATACAGCTTCCATTTGACAGAAAATATATAGGTTAGCTCTTTCTCCTTAAGGAGGAGGGAAGCAGCCTCCCCAGAGGATGCAGAGATGCAGGTCTCTATAAGACCCTGACCGGCAAGGCAATCTCCCTTGAAGTTGAGCCCAGTGACACCATTGGGAATGTCAAAGCTAAGACCAAGACAAGGAGGGCATCCCGCCTGACCAGCAGCGTCTGTTTTTTTATGGCAAACAGCTGGAGGATGGCTGCACTCTCAGACTACAACATTTAGAAAGAGTCCACCCTGCACTTGGTGCTTCATCTGCGGAGTAGCATCATCGAGCCCCTCCCTCCGACAGGTCGTCCAGAAGCACAATTGGGGCAAGGTAACCTGCCGCAAGCGTCAGGCCTGCCTGCACCCCTGCACTGTCAACTGCTGCACAAAGGTGTGCAGGCACACCAACAACCTGCACCTTAAGGAACCGGGAAAAGCAAGCCCTTCTACCGCCTCCTGGGCCTGCAGGGAGGCCTTCTGCCTAAACCCCACGGCCCTGGGGCCTCAGTAAAGTTTCCCTTTCTGTGACTGGAAGGGAAAAAAAAAGAAAAGGAAACACATCAATGCCAAAGGGAGACAGGGAGGGAAAGAACGCCAGCACATCCTGGGCGGGGAGGGGCTGTATTCCGGTGAAGAACTGGCCCCGGGCTCAAGTCAGTATCAACAAAACACTGGCATATTCACTAAAACATAAAGGGGCGTGGCAGTGAAACACTGCCTTCCATTTTACCTCACAGCATGAAGAAACTGAACCACTTTCTACATTTAATTGGTCAAGAACTTGAAGAAAAATGAGAAAGTTCTACACTTAAAACTTCCTCATATCCTTTACTCCTACATCTAAGGAAGCACAAAAGTATCCTTCATTCTTTCCAAGACTTACTTTTGTCTGTATACATAATCCTGTTTAGTTTCTCCCATCAATATATGTTTAATCCTTACCCCTCTACCTCTAAACAAGCTCAGATTAAAAAAAGAAAAAAAAAAAAAAGCCCTCGCTGGTGTGGCTCAGTGGACTGAGCACTAGCATGTAAACCGAAGGGTCATCAGTTTGATTCCCAGTCAGGGCACATGCCTGGGTTGCGGGCCAGGTCCGCAGTAGGGCACACATTAGAGGCAACTGCACATTGATGTTTCTCTCCCTCTCTTTCTCTCTCTCTTCCACTTTAAAAATGAATAAATAAAATCTTAAAAAATATATTTCTATTCTCTAAAGATTATCTCCCTTAATTTAATAGTCCAATTCCTCAAGAGAGAAATCTTCCTGTAGCAAAACTCACTTTTTTCTAACCCAGTTTCCAATTTCCCCATCTGCTGAAATAGTCCACCTAGCCCAGTATTATTTCTCCTTAAGGGATCTGAAGCAGTTGACTGTATCACACCCACAGCCATAAAACCATCATCTCTACTATTTCCCAGATGATTCCTCTGCCTCCCCCTATTTCCCAGACATAGACACAACCACTCACCTTCTGTGACCTCATGCACTCTCACCCCTTCAACTAAAACTTCTTTTTTACCTTATATTTCTATCCCCAACCATTCTTTGGAACTTCCAAATCCACAGTTAAAAATAACTTCATCAGAGTAGGCCAAAGCCAGTGTTCGTAACCATTCCCACACTCACTGCTGTCCTTGCTTGTTATTCCCACGACTACCACTTCAGGCCCTCACTCCTTCCTGGCTGCGATGCATTGCACGCTGGTCCCAGAACTACCTTCCTAATGCCTGTCTAGGTTTATTTCTCGCCTCTATTGTAGACTTCACTAGCTCTCCTTTTTCTTACCACTGAATTAAGTGTAATTAGATTCTTCACACTAAAAATAATTTACCACATTTTTCTTTTCATATAATGAAAACTCCAGACAAGCTGACAAAATTATCTACTTTATAAACAACTATATGGTTTACTCCTGTGCCTTCATTGATTCTTTTCACTACCTACAACCTTCTCTCATATCTATCCCAACTCTTAGAGCCTTGCATGCCAAAGGAAATTAAGTTTGCAAATGATATTAAGATTGCAAATCTGCTGACATTAAAATCAGGAGAGTATCCTGTATTATTCAGGCGCCCCCAATGAATCACAATATAATCACTTACTTATATGAAGAAAAGGCAGAATCAGAGGGACATGTTACTATGGAAGACAAAAAGTAATAAAATGTTGCTGGCTCTGAAAATGGAAGAAGGAAACCATAAGCAAGAAATGTGGGTGGCCAACAGATGCTAAAAAAGCAAGTAAACAGATTTCTCCCCAAAAGCCTTGATTTTAACATAGTAAGACAGGTATTAAGATTTCTAACCTCCAGAACTATAAGAGGAACATTTTCAAATATGTATTTCAGATAGTTAATAATCAAAACACGGTTTGTATCTTGGGCAATGTTTACTATAACGCTATTGAAAAAAACAGTCCAAAATGATGAGCACGTTAACCATTCCCCACAATAAAATACTCTTTTTTTTTAAGATTTTAATCAAGGGCATAGCTGGAAAATAAAATCCATGTTTATTACCAAAAAGAAGTTAGAATAATATCAATCAAAGATATAAAACTTTGCTGCAAACATAAGTATAATTTGTATACAGGGAACATTTTAGAGGGAATGATAATCATGTGCTTCAGAGCTTTTTGATTTTCCTTTCCCATGCAAATGTACAACTACTCCTCTATGTCACATATCCAGGAAAAACTCCCACAAGTGCATGGAGTATACTGAATATTTAATGAGCAGGTCTGAGAGCAGCTTACCCAGTATTGATGGAAATGATTTCTATCAGTGGATTCTTCCTAATCTTTGGCAAATCCAACGGTGCTCCCCCGAGCCGTTTTCCATTATCCTTCTTCTGACCCAGCAGTCTCACAGAGTGACCTTCAAATAAAGCACATAAACATACATTAGCATGAGTCATGCAATTTCACTTTATTTACTGCTCTCAACAAATGTGTTAATATTTGTATTTAACTTTTGCTTTTGTGGGGGGTGAGGGAGACAAAACTAGACAAGATGTGATCATTGAACCTAAGAAATAATGTCAAAGGGAAAAATGACTGTTCATACCCTACGGTCAAAAATGCTTTCCTTTTCATTTTTACTGTACAGATGAGAGAAACAAATAATCCTCAGAGTATCTTTCTACAAGGTGCAAGGGCTCGCTAGCATAGACCAGATACTTATACGAAGCAGAAAGGGTTCAGTTGGGCACTAGGCCTGCCAGCTAATTTTGCACTACAGGGAAAAAAGTGCAAAAGCAGATTATCTGCTTGAAGCAAACAGTAAATCAAAGAAGAAAAAACAAGCAGAAATTTTGAAAAAGCTTCAGTACAACTAAAGAAATCATCAGCAAGATGAATAGGGAACCCACTGGATGGGAGAACATTTTCACCAATGAAACATGTGACAAGGGTTTAAGTCTCCAAAACATACAAAGGACTAATACAATTCAATGCCAGGATGACACACAATCCAAGTAAGAAACGGACAAAAGACCTGAATAGACACTTCTCCAAAGAGGACATACAGAAGACCTATAGACATAAGAAAAAATGTTCAACATCACTAATCACCACAGAAATGCAAATTAAAACCTCAATGAGATACCACCTTATACCTGTCAGTATGACTACCATCAATAAACCAACAAACAAGTGCTGGGGAGGATGTGGAAAAAAGGGAACCCTAGTGCACTGTTGGTGGGAATGCAGACTGGTGCAGCCACTGTGGAAAACAGTATATAAAAAGATAAATAATACATTAAAGGATAATATCCTTAAAAAATTAAAAATGGCACTCCCTTTTGACACAGCAATTTCACTTCTGGGAATATATCCCATGGATCCGAAAACATCAATACAAAAAAATATATGCAGCCCTATGTTTATTGTAGCATTATTTACAATTGCTAAGATTTGGAAACAGGCTAAAGTGCCCATCAGCAAATGAGTAAATAAAAAAGCTGTGGTACATGTATACAATGGAATACTATGCAGCAGTAGAAAAGAAGAAATACTTACATTTTTCAACAGCATGGATGGACCTGGAGAAAATTATGCTAAGTGAACCAAGCCAGTCAATGAAAAAAAAATACCACATGACACTCATTTATATGTGAAATCTAATGAACACAATAGTAACAGAAGCTCAGAAACATAAAAGAGACTGACAGCTGTCAGAAAGGTGGGAGGACAGGATGAAAGATGGTGAAGGGATGAGCCAAAGAACATTCACGCACAGCCCACGACAGGGTCAACAATGTGCGGACTGGCTAGGGTGGGGAGAGGGTGGGTCTGGGTGGAGGTGGGGAAGGGGAGAAAAGGAGGGAACAACAGTAACAGCATGAATAATAAAAATTAAAATTTAAAAAAAAGTAGTTAAATTGTGGACCTCCAGGAAGGTGTTAGAATATGTAACATGTCATAAATATTTTAATGATGGAATCTTTTTTTATTGTATACCTATTAACATCTCTGGGAATACCTTGTGTAGTATGTATGTATGTACACATATGTATACAAAAATAGTTAGGGAATGCCTTCCTAGCACATTAGAGCTAGAAAATACATGTCTATTAAGGATGATTTAGAAAATACCAAAGAGCACAAACAGTAATGAAATCACCCTACACTAACTAGATGATCCACTTCTGTATCCACATATGCATTCATCAATCAATTCCTTTCTTTAGTATTCCTACTTGTAAAATGCTGATAGAAATCAGAACTTCACCCAAATATTAAAGGACTAGGAAACCCAGCTCACAACTGAACTAAAAGCAGCACTTCTTCATCATTGTCCCCTGGATTTGAAGACAGCTGGGCCTGCTCAGAAGGCCACACTGATTTAGGTTCTAGTCACAGGCAGCAAGGCCATGGGTCATGGGTCTGCTGAGTCAGGCACTGGTCGTTTGCACCATTTCTTCCTTCTCCTCTAGTAATAATACTCTTTGGTGAGAAGACATTTTACTAATCATCTCAGTGGCGATTTTTTTCAAAAAGCTTTGCTTACAGGCCTCACCAAACTAAGGGGATTGGCACTGGAATGCAGATAAGCCTTTGTCTTTGGAACTGAAAGCTGGACTGAGTGACTCAAGGAGCTGAGCTACTCTAATTGTAACTGCGAAAAACACCAGTTCCTACTGCCTTGTTTTCTGGAGCCACCCAGGTTTTTGAGTTACTTTGTATCCCTACAACTGATTTTCTTTTTCTTTAAATCAGCCAGAGTTGACTAAATCCAAGTGACTCTAAATCGCATTGTCCGACTTGTATGGCATTTGCTAAAGGAATACTGTTAATAAGGGTGATTTCTGAAAGTTAACATAATCATTAAATGACAAAGTATTTCTAAAAATTAAAAAATAAAAAAGTTTAAAAACCACTTTAGGACTGGGTTTTTAAAAACAAATTATTTTCAACTTACTTTTTTTTTAATTACAAAAGAAAATTAGACCATTTCTAAAGCCATAAAAATGTTTATACTTTGGAAAGTATGAATTAATTGTAAGTTTCAGAACAGATGGAAAAACAGTACAAAGAACAAATTCCATCCCCTTTCGCTTCCCCAATTATTATTTTCTGCTTACTTTGTCATTTGCTCATTGTATACATACATATTTTTTATAACTTTACTAAGGTACATCCTAAATATTTGCCCATTGTGAATAAACAATTCAATTATTTAAAATTATTTAAATAAACTTACACAGTTGTGCAATCATCACAAAAACCCAGTTTTAGAACATTTCTATCACCCCCCAAATTCCCTCAAGCTTATTTATAGTATATCCCTTCTCTGATACCAAATATACCACATTTTATTAATCTGTTGACCAGCTGGTAACATTTGGATTGTTCCCAATTAATACCTAGTATAATGTTTCTATGAAGATTTGCACAGAGGTCTTCATGTGGATGCTGTTGTTTCTCTCAGATTCCTACGAATGGAATCACTGGGTCATGTGGTATATTTATATTTAACATTATGAGAAAAAAAAACCTGTTTCCCAAACTGGTGATACTATTTTGTATCACAACAAGCAATGTATGGGGGTTTCTCCACATTTGATCTTAGCTCATGCTAAGATCTTGTACTGTAACATTTTTAACAACAACCCATTCTCCCGGGTGTGTAGTGGTATATCATTGTAGTTTGAGTGAATATGCATAATGACTTAAGATGTTGAGTACCTTTTCCTATGATTATTAGCCAACTGTAATGTCCTGTTTGGCAAAATTCTTTGACAGTTAATTTTATGTGTCAACTTGACAGGGCCACAGGATGCCCAGACCTTTAACTAAATATTATTTTGAATGGATCTGTGATGAGACTAACATTTGAATCAATACAGTAAGTAAAGCAAATTACTCTCCCTAACAATTGTGAGTCTTACCCAATCAATGGAGACCTGAAGAGAACAAAAAGGATAAGCATGAGGGAACTCTTCCTGCCTGACCTTAGAGCTGGCTCACTGGTCTCTTCCAGCCTTTGGACTCAAACGGAAATAGCAGCTCTTCTTAGTTCTCAGACCTGCCCAGTTGCAGACTAGCACTTAGACCACTGGCTCTCCTGATTCTCAGGCTTTTGAACTCTGAAACTACACATCAGCTCTCCCAGGTCTTCACCTGGCAGAATTGAGATTCTGGGTAATTCTCAGCCTCCACAATGGTGTGAGCAATTCCATGTAATACATCTCTTTACATAAACACACACACACATAATTGGTTCTGCTCCTCACTAATAAAAAAAATCTACTCCAGTGTTTTGCCAGTATTTTAATTGGAGTATCTGTCTTATTACAGAGCTCTAAGAATTCTTACACATTCTGCTTATTAAAAATTAGATATATGATTTGAAAATATTTTCTCTCAGTCTATGACTTATAGTTTCACTTTCATGATAATGCCTTTTGGAAAGTAAATGTTTTTCAATTAAATGAAGTTCAAGTTACCAATTTTGTCTTGTATAGCTCATGCTTTTGCTATTTTACCTAAGAACTCTTTGCCTAGCCCAAGGGTACAAAGATTGCTCCTACATTTTCTTTTAGAAGTGTTCCCGTTTTAGCTTTTATATTTAGGTCTAGGGTCTTCTTTGTTACTTTTTGTGTACAGTAAAGGTTTAAATTAATTTTTTCTATATGGAGGTTCAATTGCCCAAGTGCCATTTGTCTCCTTCTTCTTTTGTGCTATATGTTGTCACACATATTAACATACAGTTGTATAAATCTAAAAATATACTGCTATGACTATTGCTTTATACAACTGTATGTTTTTAAAGAGAAAACTGTGAAAAATAAATATTAACAGAGTACTTTATATTTATCCACATAATTACCATTTTTAGCATTCTTCATTTCCTCCTGAGAATTCAAGTTATCACTTGGTACCACTTCCTTTCTGCCTAAAGAACTTTTAGTATTTCTTTAGTATAAAGGAAATTTTATAGCAACCAACTGTTTATTTGGGAATGTCCTTATTTTGCTTCATTTGTGAAGGATACTTTTGCTGGATGGAGAGTTGTTAGTTGACTTTTTTTCTTTGAGCACTGAATATATCATTCCACTGCCTTTGACCTCTCTTGCTTCTGGTAAGTAGCTAATTATTAATCTTAAAGTTGTTCCCTATTACATAAAGTCTCACTTCTGTCTTATGCTTCCAAAATTTTCTCTTTCAATAGTTTGAGTGTGACACGTCTAGGTGTGGATCTCTCTGATTTTTCTACATGCAATTCATGTAGATTTTTTTGCATCCATAATGATACTCATCAAGTTAGGGAAGTTTTCATCCAGTATTCTTTTCTGGGGACGGGGCACTTTTTCTGTGTCCTCTTTCTGTGTCCTTGTCTTCTGTGACTCCCATGATACATTGGTATGCTAAATG